AGATTACACTTAGAAGTATGTCTTGGTACATCCCCCCATGTCTCCCCCGCCCCAAGCTGGTTGTTAACATAACCAACACACCACTGATTACATCTCTACCATTTTAGAAATTGAAAAGGATACACTGAAACATTTATTTAAAATAATATTAAAACACATAGAGCCTATATCAAATTGCACACCATCTTGGGGAGTGAGGAAGGGAGGTAGGGGGAGAAAATTTTAAACTCAAAAGCTTATGGAAAAGAATGTAGAAAACTAAAAATAATTTTTAAAAATATTAAACCCATTACATGTTAACATTAATATATCTTGATGAAAAATAACTAGTTTTCAAAACAAAATTTAGTGAGAAGAGTGGCACTGTTATACATGTTTTTGCAAATCTCTAATGTCTGACAATAGAAGAAGCTAAATTCTCATTATCTGCTTCTGTATTCAGTCCATTGTGATGTGTTGTTTTGGTTGTAGTATATGAAAAAAATCTAGCTTCACACAGATAGGTAGGAAAGGAAAGGAATATGTTAATAGGCATATCATATCTTGGTATTACTATGAAAATAGTAATTTCCAGGATACCCTGAAAGGGTTGTGGGGCCCTCCAGGGATCCTCCAACCACACAGAGCTTCTGTTTTAGATTGTAAAACCAAAATTCCATATTTCATAGGTCAGAATGACAGAAGGGATATGAGTCTGCAGAAAGTTGTAAAACCCAACAAAGCCTGGTCATCCCCAAAGTATTGAACGAACTGAAAGGAGGCCAGTGAACACGAAAACTATCAGTTTTCCTACAGAAAAACTTCAGTCATAGTGACAGTGGAACCACCGCTCATGAACAACAGCAAATCAGTTCCTGCTATGCTGTAGGAAGAAATGAAAATGGCATTAACAATGAAAGCAAGGAGATGGTCAAACCAGTTGTGTATTTAAGGTTACTTCTATGGAGGTTGGAGTGATCCAGGCAAAAAAAAAAAATTGTGAGTAGCTTTTACTTAATTTATACTAATGTAAGAGTGAGCTCTGAAAAGAAAAGGTCAATGTAACAGACTTGGACCTAGAAAACAAGAAACATACGATCATTCATATGCTAAGATGATTTAAAATAGACACAATGAAAAAAAAAAGTTTATTAGTCCTCTGATTATCAATGTCAAGCTGCCAGTAAACAGAGCCCCATGTTTGCCAAAGTTATTCACCATGTTCCTGAGAGATGAGCTGTACAGGGTCCAAATGGAAGGAGAATTCTGTATAAATGGTAAGGTCCTCCATTTGTGTGCAGCTGATAACTGGGTTGAATGCATCAGGGCCCATAATACCATCTATTCTTTTCAATGAACTACATAGCCATTCAGAAGAGATGGCCCAATGAACCACATATGGAAAGCCAAATGGAGGAAGACTACCTATTACTGGGTTTTTAAAGAAAAAAAGAGGAAAAGTGAGCACAACTGATTAGTACATTGAATAAGGCTGTAAATATAAGCAATATGTAATACCTGTGGACCTCCCATCTCCATGAAGGGCGTGGACTGAGAACATCCTTTCATTTCTCTTTGCTCAAGTCTTGCTTGATCTTTGTAAGTTTTCAACATTCAGTTTTAATTTGTGTATGTGGTTATTCTTTCCATTTATATTCCTGGAGTCAAGTATATTGTGTCTTTGGCTCTGCTTATTTCACTCTTCATCAGTTCATATAAACCTTTCCATTATTCTTCTCATTATTCATCACATACATCACTCTTCATAGCAAACTAATATTCCATTATATTCATGTGCCACAATTTGTTTAGTCATTCCCCAACTGATAAGCGTCTACTTTGTTTCCAATTCTTTGCTATGACAGAAAGTGCTGTTATAAATATTTTGGATGAGCCCAGTAATGGAGTCTGTGGTTCAGAGGGTAAGGACATCTTTCTTACTCACTTTATTTGTGCAATTCCAAATTGCTTTCCAAAATGGTTGTACCATTTCACAGCTCCACCGGCAATTTATTTACTGTTCCCATCCTTCAACCCCTTCAGCACCGAGCATTGCTATTCTTTCTCCCCTTTGCCAATTTTCAGGATATGAGGTGAAACCTCAGGGTTGTTTTGATTTGCATTTTTCTTGTTATTAATGTTTTGGAGCATTTTTAAAAATGTGGTTGTGAATACTTTGTAATTCTTTTGAAAGCTGCTTGTTTATATCCTTTGACCACATATCTATTAAGGAATGTCTGTCATTGGGTTTTCAGTCCATCTGTACATATACCTAGGACAGGCACTTTATTTTATTTATTTATTTATTTATTTATTGCAAGGCGATCAGGGTTAAGTGACTTGCCCATGATCTCACAGCTAGTTGAGTATCATGTGTCTGAGGCCAGATTTCAACTCAGGTCCTCCTGACTCCAGGGCCAGTGCTCTATCCACTGTGCCACCCAGCTGCCCCAAACAGGTACTTTAAATGGACAATGAGCTGGACCTAGAACTGAATAGGAATAAAAGAGTGTAACTGATTATATATTGAAAATTGCATACCGCTTTTAATGAGTCCATCTTCCAACTTGGTACTTTTGCACAATCCTGTCTCCCATGCCTGGAATGTACAGTCTCACCACCTACACTTCTTGAAATCCTTAATTTCCTTTGGAGCCCTGATTAAGTGCTGCTTCCTACAGAAGTCACAGCTAGGTCACGTGGTAGATAGAGTGCTGGACCTGGAGTCGGAGACCTAAGCTCAAATCAAGCCTCGGATACTCAATGACAGTATGACCCCAAGCAAGTCACTTAACTCTGTGTGCTTATCCACAAAGTGAGGATAATAAATAGCACCTACCTCCCAGGGTTGTTATAAAGATCAAATGAGAAAACATTTGTAGAGCACTTTGCAAATCTTTTTTTAAATTAATTAATTATTTTTAGTTTTCAACATTCACTTCCATAAGCTTTCGAGTTTTAAATTTTCTCCCTCTCCCTTCCCAAGATGGTGTGCAATCTGATATAGGCTCTACATATACATTCCTATTAAACATATTTTCAAATTAGTCATGTTGTAAAGAAGAATTAGAACCAATAGGAGGAACCACAAGAAAGAAGGAACAAAACAAAACAAGAAAAAAAAGAGCAAATAGTATGCCTCGATCTGCATTCAGACTCCATAGTTCTTTCTTTGGATGTGGATAGCATTTTCCATCATGAGACTTTTGGAGATGTCTTAGATCCTTTGCTGAGGAGAGCTAGTCATCGCACAACATCACACTGTTACCGGGTACAATGTTCTCCTGGTTCTGCTCACTTCACTCAGCATCAGTCCATACGAGTCTTTCCAGGTTTTTCTGAAGTCTGTCTGCTCATCATTTCTTATAGCACAATAGTATTCCATGACATTCATATACCACAACTTGTTCAGCCATTCCCCAATTGATGGACATCCCCTCAATTTCCAGTTCTTGGCCACCATGAAAAGAACTGCTATAAATATTTTTGTACATGTGGGTCCTTTTCCCATTTTTATCTCTTTGGGATATAGCCCTAGAAGTGTTATTGCTGGGTCAAAGGGTATGCACATGTTTATAGCCCTTTGGGCATAGTTCCAAATTGCTCTCCAGAATGGTTGGATCAGTTCACAACTCCACCAACAATGCATTAGTGTTCGAGTTTTCCCACATCTTCTCCAACATTTATCATTTTCCTGTTTGTCATGTTGGCCAATCTGATAGGATGTGGTGGTCCCTCAGAATTGTTTTGATTTGCATTTCTCTAATCAATAATGATTTAGAGCATTTTTTTCATGACTATAGATAGCTTTAATTTCTTCATCTGAAAACTGTGCACTTTGCAAATCTTAAAGCTCTCTAGAAATGCTAGTAATAATGACGACATCCTTGATCCCTCCAGCTGCTAATGACTCCCTCCAAAGTTATCTTGTGTAACGTAGGTGTACATATTGTCTCCACTGGTGGAATGTAAATTATAAAAGGTAACATATAAGCCTAGAAGTGTAGGTTGATCAAGTTGTGATGGATTGTAAATGTCAAAAAGAGGAACTTAAGTTTGATTCCAGAATTAATAAGATGCCATGGGAGTTTGAGTAGGAGAGTGACATAGTCAGAGCTGTGCTTTACGAAAATTATTTTAGTGGTTATGTAGAGCAGATGTGTCAAACTCATAGCCCACTGTTGCAAGCAGACATTAATTTGCAGTTTTCTAAGTCAATATTCACCCAGAGGGATCTATTTCTATGTGAGTTTGACACCACTGTTGATGAGGATGGAGTGGAGCACGAAGAGACTTGAGGCAGAGGATGTATAAGACTGACCTTGAGTAATGTGGTAGAATTATTTACAATATAGAAAGTCTGTTTTAAAGGGGGTTAAACATAAGTAGAGCCTCAAGAACCCTTAACATGGAGTACTCTAAACCCTGGAGAATCATTCTGTCTTTGTTGAGCCAACTTCACATCTCATTTCCTGACCATCTTGTGAGCAACCCTACTGCCTAAACCAGAAACCATGCCCTGGGGATTCAGCCCTTTCACCTCATTGCTTATGCTAAACCCCAGGACCCAGATGTCTTGGTCAGTGGTTGCTTCAATGTCCCACTACAATTTAGCTCAACTGCTGCCTACTTTCACTCTGGCCATCTTCTCACTAGTAGCCTTGTCTACCCACATGGGCCCACCACTCTGTCCTCTCTTGCTTTCCAATTCTTGAACCATATTCAAATCCACTGTCATTGTTCTTGGAAAGGATATATCAATATACCCCCCTATTGTTCCAATCACTCTTCCTGTAACTCTCCAAACAAAATAATCCTCCATGACAACCATTCCCCTGCACATGCTGTCTTCCTCTTCTAGAATGTAAGCTTCTTAAGGGGAAAGACTGTCTTTGCTTTGTTTTTCCTCCAGCACCTCACATAGTTACTGGCACATAGTAAGCCTTAATAAATGCTTCATTCATTTTTGTGCCATGTAAGGGACACTCCATGTGAAAAAGTAATGTTTTGTGATATTGCAGAAATTACTAACATTCCAAGATGTGGCTGTCAATTTCACCCGGGAGGAATGGGGTTTGTTGGAACCAGCTCAGAAGGACTTGTTCAGGGATGTGATGCTGGAGAACTATGAGAATTTTGTCTCCCTGGGTAAGGACGGCTTCTTTCTCATGAATCATCTGGCCATTGGGATTCTTGGCATTCTTTCTTCCTATAGGTTATGGAGTGTCTGAAGAAGTGCTTCAGTAAGGTTGAACTTTTTGTATGAGGCTATTCTTAGGATTATATATAATATGGAAACATTCCTAAATCTTTTGGTGTAAAGAAGCACAGTGTTTCTGCTCTCAGAATCTAGATGAAAGGTCTTTGCTTTGTATAACTGGTATTCAGAAGCATTATTATGATTCTCCTGAGGAGAATAGTTTTCCTATTGTATGTTTCTTCACTAAAGTCCCAGTGTAGCTACTGGCAGACATGAAAATATCCATCTTCTTAGAGGAATGTGTTTAAATGGAGTAATTTTTTCTCAGCCTAGTTCAGATCCTGTTTTCAGTTCTGCTACTTGATGGTAGCACAAACTCAATACAGAGCATCCTTCAGAAGTCCTTTCTAGTATTCCTTAAAGAAAAAGTGAGCACCTTGAGGGCAAGGACTATCTTTTGCCTCTTTTTGTATCCCCAGTATTTAGTACAGTGCCTGGCACATAGTAGGCACCTAATAAATGTTTACTGACTGAATAGCCAAGATTGAATTCTGAGGTGTCTTTCCATTCTCAGCAATTTCCTATTGTTTCCCCATGTGCAGGGTTTCCAGTTTTCAAGCCAGATGTCATCTCCCAGTTGGAAAAAAGAGAAGTACCAGGGTTGCCGGCTAAAGAAGTTCCAAGAAGCCTTTACCTCGGTGAGTAACAGAAGCCAGGCAGACAGGTAGGACTGCAAGCAGCAACTTAGCTGGTCAGTAAGGGTGCATTACCCTGAAATGGAATTAGAATGGCACTTCTTCTTAAAGGCCACAAGCCATGGGAAGACGTTTCTGATTGCTATCCCTCAGAGCCTACTTCTTCACCTTTCCTCTGAAAGGTCTTAAACCTCCTGACCTTACATTTCCCTCTAGCCTTAGAGGAAGAGGTGTATGTTTTTTTCTGATGTTAATTCTTCTGCCTTTCCTATGATTATTATTTTCTTATTCTTCTTGCATCTTCAGTCCCCCTTTGTTTTAAGGTTCTTCATAGATGTCTGATCTTTACTTAAAAGAGCAAAACCTTTGCTTGTCCCTTTTGTGCATCTTATCTACCTTCCACTTCATTTTCATTCACTTCTAAACCCCACAAACACATGATCTATACCTTTTCTTTTCATTTCTTGTGACCCCTTTACTCCTTGAAATTCAGCAATCTGCCTTCTAGTCCTACTGTTCTGTGGTTGACACAGCCTCCCATGATATGCACGCGTGCGCGCGCACACACACACACACACTTACAGTAGTACATAGATCTATAGTACTTGATTTCCAAAGTGCTTTTCTAACCTATGAGGTGATTCGTAAAAATATTATCATTATTCCTGTCTTAGAGACAAGGAATCTGAATGAGGTAACTGAAATCCCTTATCCTTATTATATCATTCCTCTGTACAAGATCTGTGATATCTTTCCTGAAACTATCATCTATTTCTTTTTTCTGTCCAGGTGGTCTATAGTATCCTCCCAGAAGAGTAACACTTTTGTTTCTCCTGTTGATCTTTACCCAAAAACTTTAATACCTTTGAATCCAAATCATGGTTTCTTGGAGTATAAAGAGCTCTTTCTTCATAAGTCACAACTCCTCATGATGTTGAAATGACCTTATCTCTGTTATTAATCTCCAAATGCTTAGGACTCTTTCATCCCTTTCTCTTTTATGCTGATATTTTCCCTTCAAAGTCTCTTGACATTGGACAGAATTTGACTCTCCCTTTTTTGCTCTTTTTCTTTTTTGTTTTTGCCTTAAAGACCTTCCTCCTCTTTTTAAAGGAATATTTCATTCCCTCTGTTAACATGTCAAATGGAGAAGTCTTTCTTGAGTCTTTTTTATTTCTTTTCTAGTAGGAAAGTATTCCTTCACTTTGAGCATAAATGGCAGTTAACTGACTATGGCAGAAAGATAAACATATTTCTGCAGATCACTGCAAAATTTGTATTGCTTTCCTTCTTTACCGGATAAGAGCCTAAGTTTGATCTTCCCTGTCAATCTTCTTGAGATTCTCCTGGCTAACTTCTGTATCAAAATACTGTGGTGGTTTCCTGTGGGCTATTTCTCTACTCATTGCATTTGTCTATGCCAGTCTTCTTGCCTTGGTGAATGAAACTTTATTTATATCATATGTTTATATTTTGACTTGCCACATGAAATGAAGCTAAATAATCTTTTACCTTTGAAAACCAATTAACAGCTTCCTTCCATTGACCGCTGCCTAGCGCTCTTATTTGTTAGTATCTCCTTTAAACTGTATATAGAACTGGAGAGAAAGTCTACTAAATGTGGTCTGACTAGGACAGAGTGTAATAAGATTATTATTTCTCTGATGTAGACATTATACATTTTTTAACACACCTTAAAATTTAATTAACTTTTTTATTGGCTACAGGATACCACTAATTAATATTGAAATTGTGATCTGCTTCAATCCCCTAGATTTTTTTATGTGATCTGCTGCTAAACCAGACCTTCTAAACTTTGATAATTGATATTTTAATCCAAGCACAGAACTTCACATGTATCCTTGTTAAATTTAATATTGTTTGTCTTGGTCCATTATTCTAACCTGTAGTGATATGTTAAAAACCGTTTCTTTAGTCTTGTATTCTCTTAGGTATCTTTTATAAATTTGCATCATCAAAACAGATGAGTATCTGCTATGATTTCATCTAGAGTATTACTAAAATTGTTGAATGGAAAGTAGAATCTTTCTCCATACATATATATATATATGTGCATGTGTATACCCATACACACATACATATACATATGTGTATATATACACGTACACAACTAAAAAACATAATCGAGATGGGCAAAACTCTTTACTGAATTATCTTTTTCAGTAAGGTTTTTAAATTTGATATAGACACAGTGGGCTATGTTATAATCCAATTCACATTTCTTTATTGTATCCAGAAAGATATCTTGAAAAATTCTGTCAAATTCACTGCTGAAAGTTAGGTATCTGCTATTTACATCCCTTACCCATCTATTTATAAGTCTTATTAATAAGGGAAATGAACTTTGTTTTATATGATTTGCTCCTATTAAATCAATGCTTAGGTGTTTACACATTCTCTTTTAAATGTTCACAAACCATCTATTTGTAATAGGTAAACAAGTTTTGTTACATAAATTGACTTCAGGTTTAGCAGTCTATATTTTCCAGAATTACTTGTTTACCCATAATGATACTCCATCCATTTTCATTAGGTTGCCATTTACTTTAAACTTTAGTTCTTGCTTATAAAAATTTGTTCTATCTATTCTAGAGTAATCATTCTTAATGAAGAAGATAAGACTCTAGAACTTAACATGAAGCAGTTTCCTTTCCTCACAGAAAACATTGAATATTGACACCTTTTTTTTTTCTCCCCAGATTTTCTTCATGAATGTAACACAGTTGAACAAAAGTACAGTCAGGAGTCAATCCCTGATACCCAACAGAGAGTTGCTGAAGTGAATGTAAAACAATACTTGGAAGTAATTGACCATGGTCGAATCTCAGTCAGTGAAAAACTTTATGAATGTAATAAATGCAACAAGCTCTTCATTTACTGTTCAAACCATATTTCTCAACATGGAACAGATACTCTAGGAAAACATCCTAAACATGAGATATCTGGAAAAACCTTTAGCAGTAAACAAAATTATCATTCAGATGATTCTGGAGAGAATCTATTTAAATGTAATGATTTTGGACAAACCTTCAACAAAATTCAAAGCCTATCTCAACATCAAAAGATTCAGAGTAGAGAGTTGTTTGAATGTAAAGAATATAAGAAAGCTTTCAGCAGAAAAGGGAACCTCTATAAATATCAGATGATTCAAAGTGGGGAGAAGCCCTATATATGTAATGAATGTGGCAAAGCCTTTAACCAAAAGGGGACTCTTTGTAAACATAAGAAGATTCACAGTAGTGGGAAGCCTTATGTATGTAACGAATGTGGCAAAACCTTCAAGTACAGGCGACATCTCGAAATAGATAAGATCATTCATTCTGGAAAAAAGCCCTGTGAATGTAATGTATGTGGGAAAGTCTTTAGTAAAAAGCCTTACTTAGAAAAACATCAAAAAATTCATTCTGGAGAGAAACCTTGCAAATGTTCTGACTGTGGGAAAGCTTTCAGCAGTAATAACTACCTAATTGAACATCAAAGAATTCACACTGGAGAGAAACCCTTTGAATGTAAGGAATGTGGGAAAGCCTTCAGCCGAAAGGGGCGACTTTATGAACATAATAGAATTCACACTGGAGAGAATTCCTATGAATGTAATGAATGTGGAAAAACCTTCATCAGTAATCGAAATCTATCACGACATCAAATTATACATACCGGAGAGAAGACCTATAAATGTAATGAATGTGGGAAAGCTTTCATCAGTAAGAGCTACCTAATTCAACATCAAAGAATTCATGCTGATGAGAAGCCTAAAAAATGTAATGAATGTGGGAAAGCCTTTATTAGTAATCAAGACCTATCACGACATCTAATAATCCATACTAGAGAGAAGCCCTATAAATGTAATGAATGTGGGAAAGCTTTCAGGAGTAATAGCTATCTTATTCAACATCAAAAGATCCATAATTTACAGGAGCCCAATAAATGTTATGAATGTGGGAAATCCTTCAGCAGTAATAGCTATCTACTTCAACATAAAAAAATCCATACTGGAGAGAAGCCCTATAAATGCAATGAATGTGGGAAAGCCTTCATTAGTAATAGCTACATAATTGAACATCAAAGAATCCATACTGGAGAGAAGCCCTATAAATGTAGTGAATGTGGGAAAGCTTTCATCACTAATCGAAAGCTATTACAACATCAAAGAATCCATACTAAAGAGAAGCCCTTTATATGTCAAGAATGTGGAAAAGGCCTCAGCACTAAATTGTGCCTAATTCAGCATCAAAGAATCCATACTGGAGAGAAGCCCTATAAATGTAATGAATGTAGGAAAACCTTTATCAGTAATCGAAATCTATTACGACATCAAAGAATCCATACTGGAGAGAAACTCTTTGAATTTGAGGCACCCTTCTACACCAATTCTTTCCTTGATGCACAAAATGAAACTAATGAATGTAGTTCAAAGTTCATGAGAGATTTCATATTGGAAATAAACTGTTCAGATGTAGTAATGGAGGGAGAGGTCCAGAAAATTTCACAGAATCATGGGATTTCAGAGTTAGAAGACTCAGAGATCTTCTAGTCCCATCTTTATCTGACCAAAAAAAAAAGTCCTTTCTGCAAAATAGAACAAGTTATCAAACAACTTTTGTTGTAAGACTTCTAATGAGCACACTTCCTCTTGAACATTTGGCTTCTCTTTTGGATAATTTTAATTATTAAGAAGTTTTTTATTACTTCAAGCCTAAATTAGTCTTTTTGCAATTTATATACATTCTCTTAGTTATAATCTGTCCAAATAGAAATGCCTAATCCCTTTTTATTTTCATAGCTCTTCAAATATTTGGTCACCTCACACACCCAATACATCTTTTTTTTTTCTTCAGGTGAAATGTCCTCAGTTCTATTAACTCATCCTCATGTGTGACATGAATAGAAGCCCCTTAGCTTTCTCTTAACCCTCCTTTCCAAATTCTTCAGTTTAGCAATGTTCTTTCTCCAACTGACAGTATTCTAATTGTGTTCTGAGTCACAGTAGACCTATACTATCATCTCCATCACACGGGGTAGTATGTCTCTTCTAATATAGCTTAAGATTGAAGTAACCTTTTTACTGTCCTTTTACACTATTTGACTCCTTTTAAGCCTATCATCCACCAAAATCTCCAGATATTTTGCAGAGGTACGTGGTGTGCTAAACAGCATTGGAATCAGCATAGATCCCTAGGACTTTTTTTTCCTTCTAAGTTCCTACTGAGCCATTGACATGAACTGAAATTATGATTTATTCAACACTGCATACTCAAAGTATTCGATTTTCACCAGCTACAAGTGGTTGTTTGGAGAGGGAAATGTGACTGAAGTTCTCATGTCTCTCTTTTTGATAATATAAAGTTGCTATTTAGTGGTATTATTCCAGGTGCTGGGGAGATTATGTAAAACATGGTCCCTGACAATGTATCTTGAAGGGTATGACACACTTTGAAATAACTATAATATAAACTAGCATAGCTTATATGTAGTCTAATATGGAAATTCATGTAACTGCTTCCTGAACCTCCAACCTTCCAGGTAGAAGAGAAGTTCCTAATGTTTTCTGTGTCATGAATCCCATTGGCATTCTGGTGAAGATTATGGACTCCTCAAAATGATCTTAAATTCATAAAATAAAGTATATAGGATTTCTTAGGAAACCAATTACATTGAAATAGTTATTTAAAAAAATTTTAATTCATAGACCCCAGATTAAGAACCCTTTGTGTAGAAGATGGTGGGTTGTTTTGTTTTGTTGTCTTTTTTTTTTTTTTAATTCCCTAGAGAGAATAATTCTATAATCTAGCCTTCTAGCAGTGAAGGGAGATTTTGGGGCAGCACCAAATTTGAGCGTTGCCTCACGGGTAGCTCCAATTTTAAGTGTTCTTGAGTTTTGGTTACAAGCACTGTATCTTCTACAGAAATATTTATTGATGCTTCTTGCCCTTGGGAAAGGGAATAAAAATAATAAAAGTGCTTCCTTTGTTGCACTCTAATTAAGGTATATAACCACTGAAGATTTCAACTGAACCAACAACTAGAGGAGCCAATTAGTTTCCAGAAATAACCAGTGGAGTGTATTAGTGGCCCTGAAACCTTCAAGGCATGATTTGCTTTTCCTCATATATGCCTCGGCCCTACCTCTATGCATGTGCCCTGGCTACATACATTCCATATCGGTCTGTCTATTTCTGACCTCTTAAATATGTCCACCCCACCCCCATTACTGGATATGTCTGTGGGAGGATACACCTTAGGTTTGGGGGTAAGATTATTTGTTGCTACCTTTCTTATGGCTTTTTAGTGAATGAATTTGCTTTCAGCTATTTATTTCCTTTTAGCTTACTAGCTAAAGGTAAACATAATAGTGAAGTGCTCCTGTGCTATAAGAGTGCAGACCCACAGAGTACTGTGACCATCCCATCTGGCCAGTATAAATTGCATCCTGTGTGCTTTCCTTCCAGCTGTGTCTGTGATTCTATGATAAAGGTATCTCAAATTCTGCCTTCTGTGGAAGGCTAGGGAAAAAGGATTTGGGGTCAAATAAGAAAGTAGAAATCAAGCAAGTGGTTTGGAGGATTATGAAGGAAGTTAGGGGTCAAATTTTAGGACAAGTTTGGAGAAACTGAAAATTTGAAGAAAAATCACCAGGTGCAGATTCTAACCCAGGTTCTACTTCTAAATTTAAAAAGAACAGGGTCAAGGACAAGGAGGCTAGGAAAGGATTAAAGAAGTTAACAAGTAGAATCAAAACAGGAAAACTTGAGGGGAAAAGTATTTGGCAAGATAGGTAAGGCAAGGTAAATTTTAAAAAGGAAAACTGAACAAGTGGAAGGTACAAATTTAGAGTATGTTGGTGGGGGGGACAAATTGTTGAAACAGGTATGAGGTTGGTAGAAGGCTGAAGGGGAGGTTGGTGTGGCCCCAGAATTCATAAGACTAAGGAAAGGAAGATGAATGAGGTTGTCAAGGTAAGAGGTGATAACTGCCTGCTTTTAACCAGGTGCTTAGGATTGAAATTTAAACATGAAATTTTGAAAAACCCAAAACAATGGCTGGTAATCTTAACCAGTATAGAGAGTAGAGGGAACAAATGAACTGGGAAGGAAGAGAGGCAACTCTTTTCAGGATATGAGAGTTGGAGAGAAAGAGAAATAGACAGCTATAAAATTAGAGCTTAAAAAACTATTTAAGACTTACTAAATTGTAGGGAGCTTGATCATAATCTGAAGAGGCAGAAGCTGGTCCTCCTAGGAATGATATATGAGTTTTGTTTTTTTTTTTTTTAGGCAATTGGGGTTCAGTGGCTATCCCAAGGTCACACTGCTAGTAAGTGTCTGAGGGCAGATTTGAACTCAGGTCCTTCTGACTCCAGGGCTGGTGCTCTATCCACTGCACCATCTAGCTACCCCTCTAGGAATGATATATGGAGCCACAGAAGATAGCCGGCAAGAGATCATTCGGTAAAAATCAGAAGAGAAGAGTAGTAATTGATTTTGTGTTCAGGGGATACTAAGACAGCTATTTGTTCACTTATTAACAATGGAGGAGGGGCAGCTAGGTGGTGCAGCAGATAAAGCAACGGCCCTGAAGTCAGGAGGAACTGAGTTCAAATCCAGCCTCAGACCAAACACTTGACATGTACTAGCTGTGTGACCTTGGGCAAGTCACTTAACTCTGATTGCCTCGCTAAAAAAAAAAAAAAAAAAAAAAACCAACAACAACAATGGAGGCCTGTTTTCTTTCCAGAGCATATATCTAAGACATAAGAGAACCTCCCAAGACTTTTTGAAACAGACTACACCTACATGCTTCTGGTGATTCAAGTAGGGATAAATGACAGTGCCAGAAGGAACATTAAAAATATTGCCAGTGATTGACTTCTTACACAAAAAGCTGGAGACTAGGAGAAAAAAAGTCCCATATTAAAACCCATTGAATTAAATGTCTATGCAGTAATGCCCAGGATTTAAACAACAAACAAAAGTAACTGGAGGGCCTAACACAAGAACGCAAGTTTGACCTGTGTATCACCAAGGCCTGATGGGATGAAATCCATGAGTGGACTATTCATGGTATACCTTATTCAAAATGCATGGATAAAAGTGATGGGGTGGCATAACATTATATATTAAGGTATTCCTATGAGGAAATCCAAGAATAAAAAGGACAAAAGATGACAGTGTTTGGGTGAAGATAAATGGAAGAAAAAACATGATTTAGATATTGGGGTAGTAATGATTTCATTAATCCAAACATCTGAGTAGCTCGGCCAAAAGCAGAGTACCTAATAACTTTTTGCCTTACTACTTTGATCATTTAGTCATCTAAATGTGAAAGAACCGATAAAGAGAGGAAACGCAGTGGGTTTTTTTTTTATCTGATTCTAACAGGGAGGAACTAGTTGTTTGGGGTGGAAATGAGGGGAACTCAGAGCAGAAACAACCACTTTATCTTAGATTTTGTGATAAAGGAGAGGAAATCCTGGGAATCTGATGTGTACTCTAAATTTTGGGAAAATTGATTTCAAAAGGATGAGAAATGATAGGACACAACGGACTAAAATTCCACATGGGAAAGGCAGAGCCAAGATGGCAGAGTGAGAGGAAACATGAGACCCTAGCTTGCCCCTCTGTCTTTTGACAAAGATCTAGGCAATGTACCAGGTTGAATTCTAATCAAGAATCAAGTGTATCATTTTTTCCAATGCAGGGTAGCTTAGGGAGGTTAGGAGAGAGATCTGTAGGTACTGGGGAAAGATTCTGGCCAAGAGCACATGTATCAGTGGGAAGCATTCCAGCACCCAAGGACCAAGAGGGATGAAAAAGAGCACCAGGATAGGAGACACCAGGGCAGAAAGTGATCCCAGAAGATCCCTGAGCAAGCACTGGGTACATAAATGGATGTCATCCAGTTTCAGGTTACAGATCCATGGGAGAAAGGAGCAGTATTGAGTCATGGGCTTTAGCTGTGTACTGAGCAAGGAACCAGTTTGAGGAAGCAAATGGTAGTTGTGTGGCTCTGACCCCAGGTGTAGAGTGCAGCATCTCAGACCATAGGGGGCTAGCAGTTCACTTGCTCTGAGCCTGTGGGGCCTCTAAGTGGCTTACTCAAGCAGCAATTTACTAAAACTCAACCAAAAACAAGCCAATAGACCCAAACTTGGGTCAGGAACTTGTAGAACTCAGGCCAGCAAAAGAGGGAAGAGTCCTCACCCCAGATTACCCCACACTTGTGGAGTCGCCAGCCTGAGCTGTAAAAGCAATAAAAGGATATGAGGACATAAGCTAAGGGCAGATATCCCCCTCAGAAGTCAGCAGAGCCCAGTACTAACAAAGTCCAGAGTTAAGTAGGCCAGGAGAATGAGCAAACAAACAAAAAAATCTGACCACAAAGACCTATTGTGAAGGAAACTCAAGATGAACAGAAGAAAATGACTAAAATATATATAAATATATTAAAATATAAATAAAACATATATAAATATATAAAAATATATATAAAATATAAATATACACATGTGTGTATATGTATATGTATATGTATATGTATATATTTGCAAGCAAAGCCTCAAAGGAAAAAATAGAGTTTCAACACAAGTCCAACAGAAACTCCTTGAAGAATTAATGAAGGAGGTTAAAATTTTAACCAAATGAGTGCAGTAAAGAATAGAAAAAGAGGCAAGACCTAGAGAAGAAATATAGGAAAAGAGAATTAACAACTTGGAAAAAAGAAGTACAAAAATCTTATTGAAGAAAATAACTCTTATTGAATTGGCCAAATAGAAGTTGTCAACCAGACTGGAACTGGCCTCTGATCCGGGAATGGCCAGAGCTGAACAGAGCAGGTCAGAGGCGGGTGTGTCAAGGATTAAACAAGTTTAATTAATTTCAGAGTGAGGAAAATGCAAGTGGAAGCCACCCCCAACCCCCACCCTGAGAAGGAGGGCTTCTGGGACAAAGGCAGGTCATATATACATAAAAAACCACAAGTGGGCTGGACCACAACACCATCATTCTTAGCAATTCCCATGGCAGGTTCGTGGAGGGACAATGCAGAGATTCCTGGGTCCTGTGGGAACAGTTTTTAAGTTGATTGATTGTCTTAAGTCTTGAGTCTTGTGATTACTCAATAGGGTACAGAACCAGAGTCAGTGTGGCAGGAACAGGAGTGCAGTACCTGGTTTGGTTCACTTGGCTGTTATAAGAAACAGGGATTGTGAGCATATCAAGAGATGTAATGGATGGCTTTAGGCTGAAGCACATTGGCTCTCAGGTCCCTGGGAAATAAATCCCTCACTGAGGGAACATAAATCCCTCAGTGAACATCTGATGCTGGTTAAAGCAATATACTTTGTCAGGGGGTGAGATCATCCCCTGACAAAGGGTTGCTGTTATACCAAGCTCAGCCTGCTTTCTAGGCCTTAGCTCTAGGAAACAGAGTGTCTCCAAATACCTTGACAAAGTGAATAGCTCCCATTAAACATCAGAAATAATTAAGTCAAAAGACTGGAAAAAAAAAAACAGAAAAAAATATTAACTATCACACAGGAAAAACAATTGACCTGGAGAACAGAGGGGACATAATTTAAGAATCATTGAACTACCTGAAAGCCATGAACAAAAAACCTACAAATCATCTTTCAAGAAATCATAAAACTACCCAGATATTTTAGATCAGAGGGCAAAGTAGAAATT